AACTGCTGGGAAACAGCTCTGGGGCCAACCTGTCCTGCTTTGGGCTGGGTTCTGTCTGCAGGCTGGATGTGATGTGCAAGGGGTTGGTGGTGCGTGGTCCCTCCTGAGCGTGCCGGGCGGTGGGTGCTGGGACAGAGGATACCAGAGCAGTGTGTCACTCTGTGCCCTCCCAGCCTGTGCCCAGGGGCAGCACGGGGTACTGCCAGCAGCACTGTGAGTGCCAACACGGGGGGCTCTGCGACCGCCGGACGGGTCACTGCCGCTGCCAGCCTGGGTGGACGGGCGAGAAGTGCCAGAGCCGTAAGTAGTGGGGCATGGGGGGCCTGGCCATGGGATCCCCATATGACCTTTTTTTTTTTTGTAACTTGACCTCTCTCCCATGTTTCCATCCTCAAAGCTTGCCCAGAGGGGCAGTTTGGGGCTCTCTGTGAGGAGCTCTGCGACTGTGGGGCCGTCGCATGCCACCACGTCACTGGTGCTTGTGATTGCCCCCCTGGCTGGAGGGGACGGCGCTGTGAGAAAGGTGAGAAATATCCCTGGGCTGGGGAAACTGAGGCTGCTCCAGAGCCTTGGAAGGAGGGAAAGTTCACTTTTAATAAGTGACAAGTTATGGCAAAACATTTTGAGGCTGTGACATAGGATGCTGCTGGGCTGGCTGGGTTGCTGCCCCTCAGGTTCTGGTGCCTTTCGGGCATTGACAACCACTTAAAATCCAGGCAGGAGACTCACATCCTGTTGTTTGTTTTCCCACAGCCTGCCTGCCAGGTTCCTTTGGGAAGAACTGTGCCAGTCTCTGTGCCTGTCCCCGGGGAGTGCCCTGCCACCACGTCACGGGGCAGTGCGGCTGTCCGCCGGGACTGACGGGCTCTGGATGTGAAAAACGTACGGAGATGGGAATGGTGCTCTGACAGCTCTGCTGACAGGCTCTGGGAACATGAGGGGTCAAGCAATTCCTACAGAAAACAGGGGGAAAAAGATGAAGCCAAGGGAAAAAAGCCCAGGAGTGAGCTGTGCCAAGGAGCTGCTCCCAGTCTGGCAGCTGGGTGCATGCCTGGGGAATGTTAGCGGGGCAAGGGAGCCAAGTGGGAAACCAGAGCTGGGTATTTATCCAGAGGATTAGCAATAAATCAGTATTAAAATGAGCTCCTGTGGGTATGAGCAAGCCTGGAAGAGACAGGCATGTGAGCACATTCCTCACCCGCAGAACAGGGCTGGATTTGCCATGTCAGTGTGTGTGGAGCTCACAGAAATGCAAGGGCAGGTAGGGCTGGCATGGCCAAAGGCATCTGATGCCTCTAAATATTTGGTTTTCTTTCAGTCCAAGTGTTTCCTGGTGTCGAGGAACCTTTTGCATGTGTGTCTCTTTGCTTTTTGGGTGTCAGAGAACTTTTGCTGCCATAAAAGGGCTCTCTAAATCCTGGCTGGAAATAAAAAGGACAAAAAAAAGCCTTGCACAGAGGGGTGGGATAGCTGCTAAGCTGCCTTGGTGCCCTCTCTCCTCAGCCTGCCTGCCAGGAACCTTCGGAGAGGGCTGTGCTCAGATCTGCCAGTGTGCTGGAGCCACCCAGGAGTGCCACCCTGTCACTGGTGCCTGTGTCTGCGCCCCTGGTTTCCACGGTCCCACCTGCCAGCTGGGTGAGTCCTGCTGGACTGTTTGCAGGTTATCCCATCCTGAAATCCTAGAGACATGAGGGATGTGTGTGTGAGTTGCTGCAGCTGGTTGAGCACTTGGGAGCTGCTCCGTGTGACAGAGCAGATCAGACCCCCAAGGATGGTGCCAGCCTGGCATGGAGTGTGAACTCTGCTGATGGATTCTCCAGGGAGTCTGGACCTTGTTCTCATGTTTGTAGACATGAAGGCACTGTTTGCTCTCCCCTCAGAGTGCTCCCCTGGGTGGTACGGCTGGGACTGCAAGAGGCCATGCCAATGCAAGAACGGGGGGCAGTGTGACTCTGCCACGGGGATGTGCCACTGCCCTGCAGGATATATCGGCGCTGACTGCGGCATCGGTGAGTGCCAGCTCAGCTGGAGTGTGCAGGGTGAGCGTGGGAGCTGTAGACCCTGCCCACAGCACCATCCCCACTGCAGGGGATGAGCAGCATTCCTGAGCTGTCCCATCACCAGAAAGAGCTCCTTGTGTCCACCTGAGCTGGCAGCAGTGCCCTCTGCACAGGGCTGTGCAAAGCTTTTCTTCTCCATCTATGCACGTACCCAGCCCTGCTTGTTCTGACCAAGGTTTTTCCTCCCACCAGGATGTCCCTCTGGCCGCTACGGCCAGGACTGTGCAGGGCTGTGCTCCTGTGGGGCAGGTGCTACCTGTCACCCTGTCACTGGAGACTGTGTGTGCCCACTGGGCAGAGCTGGTCCCACCTGTGAGCAAGGTGAGTGTCAGCTGTGGAGTGAGGCTCGGACAGGCTGGTGCTGCCCACCTGTGAGCAAGGTGAGTGTCAGCCGTGGAGTGAGGCTCAGACAGGCTGGTGCTTCAGGCTGGAGGTTGGGAAAGGTCCTGAGTGGAATGAATTTCCTCATGGTCTGTGTCTCACCACTGCTGTCTCTGGCCCCGCAGGCTGTGAGAAGCACCAGTATGGCCTGGGCTGCCAGCAGACCTGTTCCTGCCACAACGGGGGACTCTGTGACACAGCCAACGGCTCCTGTTCGTGTGCTCCTGGATGGATGGGAAAATCCTGCGAGTTAGGTAAACCCGACCCGAATGCACCATCCTGCACCCACCCGGTCACTGTGCAGCTCTGTTCCATATTGGATCCAGTTTCTGTGGTCCCACTGTGCCTGTTGTGCTGCTGAGCAGCTCTGCCACTCCCTGTCCCTGCAGAGTGCCCGCCGGGGAGATACGGAGCCGAGTGCCAGCTGCTCTGCCCCTGTCTGCACAACGGCACCTGCGACCCGGGGACAGGAGCCTGTCGCTGCCCTGCGGGTCACTACGGACCCCTGTGTGAGCACAGTGAGTGTGGCAGCGTGGGCACCTCTGGCTTTGGGCAGGGGGGGATCCCTGAAACTCATCTGGAGAGCAGAACACAGGTGTGACCACCACAGCGACACACCGATGGGCTCTTTTCATAGCGAACCCTTCCCAGGCAGCAGCAGAGAAGTGATTTCTGATCTGGGACAGCAGTGCCCTCCCAGGGCATGAGGCACACACATCCCCTCTGCCCAGCGCTGCTGGCACAGCTCAGAGCTGAATGCTCTGCAGTCGCCTTGGAGGGAAAGGCTCACTGCTCTCTCTGCTGGGCTGACAGAGGCTTTGCTGCAGCTCAGCCTTTTCCACCCACCCGTGCCCTAATGAGCCTTCTCCTCCCCAGGTTGCCCCCCAGGATTCCACGGCGTGGGCTGCCGGGAGCGCTGCGACTGTGAGCACGGAGCAGGCTGTGCCCCAGCCACCGGGCACTGCCAGTGTCCCGCCGGGCTGCAGGGCGAGCGCTGCCAGACAGGTACCCCATCCATCCTCCTCCTCCTCCTCCTCTGCTCCCGGCGGGTCCTGAGTGTGGAGCACACGGTGCAGGTGCTGCATCTCACCCCCCAAACAGGCTGCAAGGAGGGCACGTACGGCGAGGGGTGCCAGAAGCTGTGTGAGTGTGCTGGTGATGTGCCCTGCCACCCAGTCACGGGGCAGTGCCTGTGCCCCCCCGGGAAAACTGGCCCCAGGTGTGCTGCAGGTGAGCTGAGCCACAGCTAGGGCAGGGGAGGGATTGCGTGGGGATTGGCAGCAGGCTAGAAACTGTCTGAAAGTGTGTGCACAAATCCTCTTGTGGGAGGAGAATTCTCACGGAAGGGATTTTTATGGTGTGTCCTCTCATAGAGCAAGAGGGTACCTGAATCCCAGTGCTCACCCTCCAGCCTCTATTTATAGCCAGGTCTGAACACAACTGATCCACCAACCCCCAGAGCCCTTGTCTTTAGATCACCAGGGCCAACAGGCTGAGGGTGAAACACAGGAAAGCCTCGTTGTGCTGGGGATGCTCTGATGTCCTGTGTCACCAGAGCTCAAGGGCAGGCTGGCAGGGGGGGAGGCAGAAAATTCTCTGCCCTATCCTGCACGCAGCCTCCACTGCCCAGGAAAGGTCTGAGCCCTCTGTGCCCTCTGCAGACTGCCCACCCACCCAGTTCGGCCCCGACTGCCGCCTGGGCTGTCAGTGTGCCCCCAGCAGCTCCTACTGCAGCGCGAGGAACGGGCAGTGCCTCTGCCTCAACGGCCACACGGGACACACCTGCAGGGAAGGTAACGTGCAGGAGTGCCACGGGCTGTGCCAGGCACTCCCAGGGCAGAGCCTGGGGGGATGCTCTGCCTGTGCTCAGGCTGTGGCTCCTGCACTGGTGGGTTGGTTTTGGTAGCAGGAGATCAGTTAAATCCAGGGCTGACTGTCCCATTTCCCTTCCAGCCACACAGTCCCTGGTGCCCACCAGGTCACCACCCACCCTGGAGGGGCTCCAGCCAGAGGGGCACTAGGTCCTGCTCCCGGGAGTGCTCCCTCAGTGGGACCACACAGCCACCTGAAGAAGCCAATGACCTGTTAATGAACTCATTTATGAGCCACATGAGCAGCTCTCATCTCCTGACAGCTCCAGCTGCTGCTTTTGGGGTCGTCTGAGCGAGGCTGAAGTGCCCAGTATAACCAGTTCACTGCACCAGCGTGGGCTGGCCAGGAGGACACACGTGCTGACACCAACACGCCTTCGGCCAGAGACCAGAGGGACCAGGTCAGAAGGGATCATTTCTGGTCAGAGGACAGTGGATTTGACAACTTGTGACACTGCTGGCCTTCATCTTCTGGGTGCTGAGCCTGGGAGGGGCTGAAATCATGGTCCAAACCAGGTATTTATGTACCAATATTTATGGGGAGCTGCACCACAGCGTGTCAGGACTGAGGGCAAACTGTGCCTGGCTCTCCTGTACCTCCTCACTTGAATTATGTGTTTAAATTTGAATTAGCAATGGTGTTTTACTGTAAGTTACCATTTGCTGTGGGGGAAATGTGTTGGGCTCCTGCAGAGCTGCACAGTCTATGCTGGGCAAGCTTTGTGGGAGCCAGGAGCATGTTTGTCAGCCCACAGAGCTGACATGGTGCTTTCTCCACCAAAAAAGGAAGCCTAAATCAAGTGTGGTAGACACAGATATTTTGTGGATAAAGACAAAGCTCTTGTACTGTTGGATCAATGCAAATCCCAGATGAAATGTCCTCACCCCAGCACTGGGCCCTGCGTTATTTTGCTATTCCAGTCACAGCCAGGAGCTGGGAAGGGGATGGAGGAAGGAGGAGCAGCAGCTCCTGGCTTGGAGACAAGTGAGGAGCCGTGGCAAAGCCTCAGCTGCCACTGCAGCAGCAGGAGATGCTCCAGTGCCATCACCCAATGCCACAGCCCTGGCCAGGGCTCAGGTACCCCAGAACCACAACCACCCCGAGCTCAGCCCCTTTGTCTGTTTGCACAAAGCCCCTGGGCAGGCAGA